ATTTACGGAGACGCCTTCACTGTCACCCTGTAAACATTGTAGCTTTATGGAGATGCCTTCACTGTCACCCTGTAACACTCCATGTTTCCAAACTCAGGCGCCGGTTCCTGTACATGGTGAACCTGGAGGCTCCGTCTGAACCGCCGCGTAAGATCGGGCGTCAGAGTAAATGGGACGTGGGGACGGTCCAGTGGAACCCTCACAGATCAGAGTCCCACGTCTTCGCTGCCTCGGTGAGTTCTGCTGTTAACGACAAAGAAAACAGGCTCCTAAAGTACACACAATAAAATCTGTGTGTGTTTGTCTTCAGAGTAACCAGAGGGTGGATCTTTACTCCTGGAGGAACGGATGTGGAGAAGTTCACACGTCTCTACAGGGACATACCCGGGTCATCAGGTAACTACAGGGTTAAATCAAACACACCTCTGGACACGGTGATGTCTTCAAGGACTCTCTGTTCAATGATCCTCTGTGATGTGTTCAATGACTGTGGCGTGTTCATGTCCTCAGTGATCTGGACTGGTCCTGGTTTGAACCAGAGTTCTTGGTCACCAGCTCAGTGGACACATACATCTACATCTGGGACACCAGGTGAGAGGAATCAATGACGTATTTATATTTATATACATGTGTGTATGTATACACGTATATATATGCCTCATTAGCATATCGTGCAACATTAGCATGTCGTCACATTAGCATATTGTGACATTAGCATGTCGTGCAGCATTAGCATAAAGCTGATGTAAACACATTAGCATGTCGTCCTGCAGTAATGACGTATTTGTTGACTCCACAGAGACACTCGGAAACCCAGCGTGGCTCTTTCTGCTGTTGGTGAGTCTTCTTCATCTTCATTCATCTATAAACTGATCTGGATCTAAATCAATAGGGACAGTGACTCAGCGTATTAGAACGTCTCCTGTTGTGTTTGAATGCTTCCTGTTTTCAATAAAGTGTTTCTATTCTGTTCATTAAAGACATTCTAACCTGTTGATCTTCTCTTCCAGCCGGAGCGTCTCAGGTGAAGTGGAACCGGAAGAACCAGAATCTGCTGGCGTCCAGTCACGATGGAGACGTTCGGATCTGGGACAAAAGAGTGAGTTTTAATCTGATCTCAGCATGAGCTGCTGAAGGATCTGGAGGATGTAGAAGATCTAAAGGATCTAAAGTAGGGGTCTTCAATGTTTCTCAGGCCAAGGACCCCCAAACTGATAGAGAGATGGAGCAGGGACCCCCGACTATATATATTGTATAAAGTTGTTTTATATTAAACTGGGCCTCGTGCCGTGTATAAACATACCTCTTTATTGTGCATTCAATACTAAACTATTCAAATAATACACTGGTTCATATCTTCATGTTGTTATGTTAAACATGTGCAAGGTACAGTGAGTAGGGAGGCCGTGCCACTGCCTTTTATAAACACACCTTGTCAGCTGATACCAATGCCAATATCAACAGTGTCTGTCAATTGCATGATAATCATCATACAAGATATTCACACTGATGTTTTCATTTTAAACATAAATGTGGAAACGAAAATGAGTGATGGCCTATTAGTGCCACTGCTATGCATAAACATACCTGTTATCTTTCATACAATACTGAACTATTAAAATAATGGACACATTCATGTTTGGGGAAAAAAAAAAAAATTCCACGGACCCCCTGTTGAAGATCTCTGATCTAAAGGATCTAGAGGATCTGGAGGATCTAAAGGATCTGAAGGATCCGTGCTGTCACTGTTTGTGTCCTCCTCTCTAACAGAAACCCAACACGGCGGCTGAGTACCTGGCAGCTCACCTGTCTAAGATACACGGCCTCGACTGGCATCCCGACAACGAGTTCATCCTCGCCACGTCCAGCCAGGACAACTCTGTGAGGGTGAGGAAAACAAACGCACTGTTCACATCAGAGAGCAAAGAGCAGAAACGTTGATCTTTATCAGCTGGACACCAGAAGACTTCTGGTCTCTGAATCTCTGAATCTCTGAATCTCTCTCCTGCTTTGTGTTTAGTTTTGGGATTTCCGACAGCCCAGGAAGTACCTGAACATCCTGTCCTGTCAGGTTCCAGTGTGGAAGGCCCGATACACGGTGAGTCTCAAACGCAACATCAATCATCCTTAAACACCAGTTCACTAGTAAAGACGCACAGTCATCGTCCAGGTGTCCTCAGATGAAGATCAGTTATTAAGCTTCATACAGACGGCACCAGTCTGAGTTCTCCTATTTATGGACCAGCAGACATCGATGTATTTATGTATGTCGTGTGTTCAGAGTGTGTTCTGTGTTGTGTGTTGACAGCCGTTCTCCAACGGTCTGGTCACAGTGATGGTTCCTCAGCTACGGAGGGAGAACAGTCTGCTGCTGTGGAGCACGCTGGACCTCAACAGTCCGGTTCACGCCTTCGTGGGACACGACGACGTGGTGCTGGAGTTCCAGTGGAGGCCGCAGAAAGAAGGTGACCCTCAATGACACAGGTGGAGCTAGGCTAACAGTTTCCCTTGGCTTCCAGTCTTTGTGCTAAGCTAGGCTAAAGGTCTTTTTATTTCACCGTCAGAAGTCTTCACATTCTGCACAAAGTGTAACATTAAGAAATGTTTCCACGCTGCTTCCTGTCGAACAATGTGAGTGCCATGTTTCACTGATCAGCTGACGTTGTGTTGTTTGTTTGTTATCTTCCTGACGTGTTGTTTGGCTGTTGTTGTGTTGTGTTGTTTGTTTGTTGTGTTGTTGTTGACGTTGTTTTGTTTGTTGTTGGCAGTCCAGTTGTTGATGTTGTTTGTTTGTTGACAGGCTCCAAGGACTACCAGCTGGTCACGTGGTCCAGAGATCAGACTCTGAGGATCTGGAGGGTGGATCCTCAGCTACAGAAGGTCAGTGAGCAGCTTCAGAGACGCGTGTCCTCCTGTTACTCACGTGTCCTAATGTCTGCATGTTGTTGTTGTTGTTGTGTAGCTGTGCGTCAGTGACGTGGTGGACGAGCTGGGGGACGGGATGTCTCTCACCGTGGAGACAGAGAAGTCTCTGATGTCTCAGGAGCCTGACGGTCAGTTCAGTGTCGGCCTCGCTGCCGAGAACCTGCAGGGTGAGAAAGAATGAAAGAGTTCATTATACGAATGAATCAGACTCACATCTCAGTGATGATGATGATGATAATAACAATCCTGTCCTCTGTCCCTCAGATCAGGACGGGACTCTGTCCTCTGTGGTGAGTTCAGGTGTCCCTCAGACGTTGCAGCAGGAGTTTTCTTTGGTGAACCTTCAGATCAGAAACGTGGACGTGGAGGTGAGACAGACGTTTTTAATCAACTGTCAATCATTTAAATCTAATATCTGCCTTTTCAAAATAAAAGCACCTGAATCCCTCTTTGATGTTTTACAGATTTAGTTGTTTTATTTTATTTTAGTACCAGCTGGCTTCACATTCATGTTGTTAGTCCGTGAGTTAATCAGTCACTGTGAATGAGAACCCATAAGATGATGTCATGGTTCTGTTCAGATGGACGCGTTGAACCGGAGCTGCGTGGTGTCGGCTCACTTCGGCAGCCATCAGGTTCACCTGGTGGTCAAGTTCCCCGCTCAGTATCCCAACAACGCTGCGCCCACCTTCCAGTTCGTCTCCCCCACGACCATCCCGTCCGCCACCAAGACCAAGATCCAGAAGGTACGGATGCTCCTGAATGCACCATTTTCACTGGTTCTAACTGGTTCTTTATTTAAACACTGTTGTGTTTCTGTGTTCAGATCCTGACCGACACGTCTCTTCAGAAGGTGAAGAGGAACCAGAACTGTCTGGAGCCGTGTGTCCGACAGCTGGTGTCCTGTCTGGAGTCAGACGTGGTGAGGACACGCTGGACATGAAGCTCAGGACACGGAGGACGTCTTCAAAGGTTCTGTCTTCATAATGTCTTTCTGTCTGTCAGACGCAGGAGGACGGTCCGGTCTCCGGTCCCTTCGTCCTGTCCAACCCCGTCACTCCGGCTCTGCAGGCGTTCCCTCGGGTCACCAACACGTACGGGTCCTACCAGGTAGGACATGAGACACCTACAGGAGACATGAGACATGAGACGGACGTTTGTGTCCTCATGACTAACGATTTCATGATCTTTCTTGTTTCTAGGACGCTAACATCCCGTTCCCTCGGACCTCCGGCGCTCGTTTCTGTGGCGCCGGCTGTCTGGTTTACTTCACCCGACCAATCACCATGCACCGCTCGGCCCCGCCCACTGAGCCCACTCCCAGGTAAACACACACAGACACACACACACACACAGGTGTCTTCAATCAACATCGATAAGCTTTTATTTTTACTTACAGGAAGTAGTTAAAGTCTATTCTCCATCAGAACTAGTTTGTACGACGACAACAAACCGTGTTTCTAGTTTGTTTAGAATCTACGCTAACTGTGTGTGTGTGTGTGTGTGTGTGTGTGTGTGTGTGTGTGTAGGTCCCTGTCCGCTCTGTCGGCCTATCACAGCGGAGTGTTGACTCCCATGAAGATGCGTTCAGAGTCTCAGAGCACGCTGCGTTTGTACAGCGGCAGCCCGACTCGCTTGGACAAAGACACCGTGTCCATCTCGTCCTTCTACTATAAAGAACGGGTGAGACAGACTCACACACGTGTGTGTATATATATTTGTATATATATACATATTAGTGCTGGGCAAGTTAACGCGTTATTATCGCGTTAACGCATTCATTAATTAATGCCGACAATTATTTTATTGCGCGTTAACGCAGTTTTCTTTTTTTATTATTAAGCGGACATTTTTAACACAAGAACCGGCAGCGAGCGGTGAACAGCTGTTTGTGTGGCGTCTCTTCCTGCTGCCGCCTTCACTCCCGTCACCTCCTGTCTCACACACACGCACACGCGCGCGATCGTCTCCTTACAGGATCAAACGTGATGATATCAAAAGACATATTGTGGTATTTTTAAATGCACATATAAGCATGAGAGAACAAACTGCTCTTAAATCAACTCTTTATTAGCATAACTTCCTCATGCAGGTTACTGCCACGGTACAGGCTCCATGGTTCACCTACATTCCCCTGGGTCCTAAGCCCCTCCATGTATCATCTCTTACACACATGAAGATAAAGTTATGAACACCGGCTGAATATCAATGATCAGAATCATTATAACTGTGTTATAACTGCTGCTGTATGTATATATATATATATATATATATATATAT